TTCCCCGTGGGTATGTACCTGCTCCCCACTGGCTGTGCCTTTTCTCCATTTCGTTATTCTTTGTGTGAAGCTGAGCCTTAGAATGTGTGTCTAGTTTTTCATGAAAGGAGGTCTTTACACTGAACTCCTATCAGTCTCGCCCACTTAATAAAGTTCAGCACTTTTACTGACAACAAGGAAACATTGTAACATTTGCAGCCATGTGCCAAAGACAACATATGGAGCAAAATCTAACAAACCCTTCAGAAGTCAGACGATTCCGACCATATGATAGAAAGTAAAATTTTTGCTTGTCAGATATGACCTGCATGGCCCCCACATGTTTGCTAAAAAAAAAAAGATTCACATGAAGGTTTTTAAATTCAGGCTGAAGTTTTTAAGGGCAAGTTATAGTTTACCCTTTATGGTACAGAACAGTTTTGTTTTTCCACATTTTATGTGGCTATGGATTCTATGTATTTTAAAGGCTACTTTAGGTAGCTAAAGGTAATCTTTAAAAGAACTGGTCTTGGTTTAAAAAAAGTTATTCAGCCTCTTTTCACGTTTGTCACGATTCTGACCTGTGTTACCGGTTAAGTTATTTACAGATGAAATTAAGGGATTTTAAATGTTGAATATCTTTAACACATTTCAAAACAAATGCAACAAAACTAGGATAAATTCATTAACCTGTGAGCACTGTGGGGAACACCGGAGATCTGCACTCCTGGAAGTGTCAAGCTCCCAGCCAACTTGGAGACCTCAACAATGGAGCGGCATTTGGTGGCACGGGTAGCAGGAGGGTTAAGCATGCCCACTCTTGCCGGCACATCTCCATTTTAAACTTTGCAACAGTGAAGATATATAGAATGAAATACATATCGTGGGAGCATCTATATTGCTGTTAAAAGCCAGAAGTTGAGAACTAACCTAATCCTGGAAGCATACTGTAACTCAAGTCTTGACCTCTCCATGTCTAGAGCTATTTGGCAGTCCTTGGCAGTGCCACTAACTTTTACTTTGAGTTCACCATTCCCTTATGTTACAAAATAAATAAGTAAAAGTTTGTACTTCTGCAATAGCCTTTTAGTCAGAAAATGTTTCCTATGATAGTTTAGGGTTCAGAACTGGGGCTGCTTGGATAATAACTGGGGAAAAGTGAATGCCTTTTTCAGATTTTCTAATGAAAATGAGCATATCCAGATCTGCTAGCAAATAAAACACATATCTATAAGATGTATAATATGCCAGGATAGGTTACAAAAGCTAAAAACAAATTTAAAAAAAAAAAGTTCTAAAGGAATGGCAGCTCCACAATAAGAACTCTCTGGGACTGAAGTGGTTAACTAAAATTACACATTAAATATAGAAAACATGACAAATAAAAAGCTAATTGTTGACAAGTAAATATTAGATAGTCTAACTGTAGCAAAGTGAGATGAAGCCATAATGAATGAGGAGAATATATTTCTCTTTGGCTAGCTGTCAAAATCTTTCATTAAACCAGTCAGAGCTCCACACCCTCTTTTCCCGGTGCTGCCCCAAACCTACACTGAAACTTCTTACTAGAGTGAAGAAGATTATAGATGGCAATTGTTACTCTCTTAGGAACTGGAACAGTACATCATATTCATCATACAGAGCATGAATGTGCTGACTGCTAACATGCAGACTCCAGTCTTCTGCAGCATTCACAGTGACTAGTAGAACGGCTCACTGCAGTTTAAGGTGGCAGCAGCTGCTAAAGACAGGAGTTCCGATGATGGTGTTTGCTTTAAATAAAGTGGGACAGTAGCTACCATCTCCTTATACTAATAGTTGACTTTGGTTTGTTCTGTATATTAGTATCTTTCATTCTATTAACATACTGAATATACATTTATATGTTGCCCTCCGATCCCGATCAGGCAGGGATAGGTTGGTCATACATGTAAAAACAATTCTGCAGTAAACTGTCAGAATTGCATCTTACAGAAGTCACACTATAGCACTAAACATCACGAAAATGTGCATTTAGCACACGCTGTCACGCACTAGCTGGTACCACACGCTATGTGTGCTGCACTGTTACAGATTCTCAGCCCAGGGGGCATACATTGCCATGAAGTGAAAGAAAAATATAAGGCATGCACTACTTTTTTTTCCCCACTGAACAGCAACACAGACTGTTGTGCAGTGCTGCAACGCACACCCGCTGGCATGTGTGTTTAGGTGCCATTAAAAATCAATGGCAATGCACCAGTGCGCCTATCATGCAGTGCGTCACTGGATCGTGTGCACTAAATGCATGGATTCCATGCGTTTCTTGCCACGCTGTATTGTGAATAGGCCCTTTTGGAAAAGTCAGTCTCATGTGATTCATTTTTTTTTCTGTGTCGGAATACAGCATTATTTTTGAGCATAAAATTGTATAAAATGGTCAATACTGTTTAATATTGCCTGTGTGGCCAGCATAACAAACCATTTATGTTCTCAGTGCAATTACTTTTTGTGTATGAGACCAACTTTTTTTTCTGTTGATGCAGCTGTTTTATACAGATGTTGTTGTTCTATAATTGTACACCTGTATAAAACAATTGTGTTAAGCTGAACTCCAGGTTTAATTATTATGAATATGTACATTGGTCTAGCCTGGCTGAATGTAAGTGCATATATCATCATACATGAGTTGCCCACAAGGATCCTGTAAAAAGCATTGTAGTTGCCAGAGTTCCTACAGTGCTGGCCCTGATTTTCCAGGTCCTGTATGATGCTGTGCTGAGCGGGTTCCCTCTGCTCTGAAAACATGGGGGGATGCTCACTTGGCAAAGCTGCCATTTCAGAGAATGCCTAGTATATTTGTCAATGAATACAGGTCAACCTCCTGTGTTTTCAGAGCTTGGGCTGCTAAAGTGCTTTTACAGGATCAGGTAAGACATATGCACATATTTACATTGGGCCAAGCTGGACCAATGTAAGTATGCATAACAATTTATATGTGGAGTTCAGCTTTAAACTGATGTAATAACTGCATAATAAGCATGGCTGCAATTGCACAAAACAATAATTGCTAGTCTTAGTTATACTTTTTTTCTTATACATTTCTCAGTTTTATTCTAAGCTTTGTACTGCAGTTATATCAAAAATGACAACAAAAAATTTACATGTCAATAAGACAAACTGAAATCTAGGGAAGTCTACCAGGAAACATGTATTGATTATGCCAATTTAGCTACAATATCACACCAATGTTTCACATAGCCACAGACTTGTAGCTTCTAGGCAGTGCCCATGTACAGTAAACTGATATCACTGTGGAAATAATTAGGACCAACAATGTGATGTGATTTGGTATTAAAGACATTTTGGAGCGTAGGGGAAGTGAGGCTGAAGGGAGTGGTCTATGAGCAAGCCGAGATTATGGTTTGGGTAAGTATAACTTTGTTATTTTAGCTGGCCGTAGTTCTGTTTTAAAGTGTATGTGTAGCTGAAACCTTTTTTCCTATATGCTATAATGGGGAAGGGTTAGAACCTCCATCAGGTTGCTACTGCTATCCAGGGCTCTTTTAGAGAGATTTACAGTCGCATCCTATTCTACTGACAGAGTTCCACTCATATCATGTCTGTAAAACACTAACAGCAACACAGACAGGTAATACCTGCTTTTCTTTAGTAGAGCTCAGGAAAACTAGACTTCAGATTTGATGTCTGTGTCCCTGTTGCATATTTTCCCTCACTACCTGTCTGGTGAAATAGTTATAAGCTGAACAGGATTTCAGAGGAAATCTCTCAAATGCAGTCCTAGAAAAAAAAAAAAAATCCAACAGAAGGTCTAATCTTTCCCCATACTATCCAAAACTAGAAAACAAGGCTTTTGGCTTATCATACACTTTAAAAGGAGAACTATGGGTCACGGGAGGACATAAACTAGCTTCCTCCCGTGACCCAAAGCCTAGTATACCGCGCTACAGCTCGCGCTATACGGAGACCGCCACAGCCGGGACGGATCCCAACATTACTGTCGAGATCCACCCAGCTGTACTCACCTCATAGTACTCCTTTAACACACGAAAACAATAGACATCTTTTTTTGCCCCCAACGCAGTCCATGTATGCACCGCAGAGGAGGCAAGTTGACTTGTTCTAATGGTGCTTTGTGCTGCCATTTAAAATGCATGGCTGGATTTTGCATTACCACAACAGTGTGAAGGCATTCTAATGGTTGTAATCACAAGTGATTACTGCTTGTCCTATATACTCTACGTCTATTTACACAATATTTATACAGGAGACTTATATTGTTGGTTCCCAGCCTCATGCCCTGAGAGTCTGGAACTCAGTGTATGGCCCAGAGCTTTCACCAGTATGACTCTAACAGGGTTATTCACAGAAGGGTGAAGAGTTTGGAGAAGTCAAGAGAAGTGAACAATCTAGGACAACATAACTGAACTGGAAAGTGAGCTGAATTGGAGAATTTTTACAAATCAGCTATGTTGTCCTAGATTGTTCACTTCTCCTGACTTCTCCAAACTCTTCACCCTTTTGTGAAGAACCCTGTAAATGTCTGTGGAATAGTTGTTACTGGTGATCAGTCAGGTACATTTAGAAAGGTTAGTAAAATATAAACAAACCGATTACAATATTTTTAGGATAGATTTCTATAATTCATGAAAAAGTACACCCATACAAACTATCTTTCTCTCTGAATCTCAATACTCTATAAAAAAAAAAAACACGAGGGGAATTTATCAAAACTGGAGCAGAGAGAATGTGAAGCTGATTGGTTACTGTGGGCGACTGCTCCAGATTCTGTCTGCTCCAGTTTTAATAAATTCATCCCACTGACCTTACAAATGGTAAAACATATGTAAATGTGTGTCACAAATAACTGGAACTTCAGAAAAAAAAATACTTGCTTGATAAATATTTGATTTGCACTGAAATTGCCTAGTTTTCAACCTGCTATAGTTTGATATGGCGAGCTGGTCCCACAATTACTTTACATTTAGGTGAGAATTTTTTTTGGTTTTGTTTTCTGACAGGTTGCATCCAAAGCTGGTATCTATGAGGTGCTTAATCAGCTCGGCTTCAGTGAGTTCGAGAACGTGGACGAACAGCCTTTGTGCCGGTTGCGCAGTCGTTGGCAACAGCAAAATATAAACTCTCTTCCCTTTCGCGGAGAATTTATTTAAGGCTACAAAACCTACTCTTCTCTGGCTTTCAAGGGTAATCGTTGCTTCCAGTTCACAAGAAACCTCCAAACAAAAGGCATCAGAAATAAATAATAATAAAATAGCGTGCCACTGTTTTCTGGGGATTATGGGATTACACATCTGATAAACAGGCATGAAAATGTTCTAGTCATTGGAAGAGATAATGCAATATTGGCACTGACGGGATGGCATACTCCATTAGAGAAGGATTAACCACCCCATTGCATATGTATATTTTTTCTGTGCGGTTTTTGCCATGCATTAAAAGTAGATTCACTGTTATATTTTAATGATGATGATTTAAAAAACATGGAAGGGCTATGCTTTGTTTTATGTTCACAGAAAAAGCAACTGCTTAGGAGTCATCTTTTATCCCTGTTAATATGCTAGTGTGATAGATAAATAACTTCAGTGTACTTTCCCATGCAAATAATACTTGGCAAATGTGTACTAGATTTGGAAGACACAAATGCTGCTATGACATGTAATATTATAAAATATCCTGTTAAATAAATTGATCAGAAATATGTACAAATAGTTGTGTTGGCATCAAAATTATAATTTACAAAAAAGGTGTAAATGTTAAAAGCAAAAAACAAATACGAAAAAAAAACAGCATAACTGTAGACAGACAAAACAAGTCACCTAGAAGCTCCCAATATATATTTTTTTACTTATTTTTGGTAGGTTGTGTTTTTAAATGAACATTTTCTTCTATACTGTACATATGTTTTAAAAATATGAGCATATAAAGACATTGGTCTGGTAAAATATTATTCCAAGTCCATTTCTTCCTTTATAAAATAATTATTGGAGTAATTAAATCTATATTGTCCACATTGTGAAGCTGATTATTATTTCTGGAAGAAAATAAACAGAAAGGTCTATTTGCTATATAGACTGTCTGTAAAGTATAGATATGGAGAACCATAATTATTAGGTATCTGAATCAAGAACTGTCAGTCTTGCCCAAAGGAACCAATCAAATTATTATTTTCCTTCACTTTTAATGTGCAGAAAGAATGAGAGGGTGGATCTGATTGGTTTCCATGAAGCAGCCCAGACAGTTCTGTATATCAGGCACTTTGGTAGTAATTACTTAACATTGCACATTTATACTTTGTCATATACTACACAATATGCACAGCAGTGTTGGAAGATAATTGGGCCGTTTCCTGATTCCCAGGAAAACAGCTGTTTCCATTTTTCTTATTTTACTGTACCTCAAGGAGGTATTTACCAGACCAGTAAACTTGATGCATGTCACTGTAGCTGTTAGCATTAGGTAGCTTTTTACATTCTAATTATTTACTTTGCTTTCAGGTAATAAAAACCATCTTGAGTAACACCATGTTTTTGAATAGTTCTAATAATGGTTGTCTTTAATATTGTAAAATGTATCAAAGTGGTTGGATTTCATTTTTGTAATAAATATGAACTGTTTTACTTTGTGTAATGTGTTTTCCACATTAAAGATAACAAGCTTATAAAGAAAGAAAAAAACAGCCAAGATGATCATACTCTTACAAAATGTATTACGGTGATGAAAACTTCCCCTGTTGACCGTGATCCAGCCCTCTAGCAAAATGCAGATTAAATAGCTGATAGAAAGCAGGGGGCAATGGAGATTATTAAAGTAGAACTATGAGATGAGTGATTTCCACTCACCTAGTTCTAGCCGACCTGTGACAATGAGACTGTCACAGGTCGGCTCAGTAGATCGGGAGGTGAGCGAACACATACCAGGTTCGCTCACCTCTCGATCCTGTCACGGCTCTCTGCCGTGACAGGGGGAGGGGCTGGATTCCCCTCTTCCCGCTCCGATCTGCCAGCGCTGACTGGCTGGACGGGGAAGGGGGCGGGTACAGCTGGCTCTGCCTCTAGATAGGCAGAGCCAGCTGTCACTCACGCAGCTGGGCGGATCCCGTCATCTACGTCGGGATCCGTTGCGGCGTCTCAGTATACCGCGAGCTGTAGCTCGCGGTATACTGAGCTTAGGGTAACGGGAGGACGCTAGTGTGTGTCCTCCCGTTACCCTAAGGAGCACTAGGCAGCTGGGCGGATCCCGTCATCTACGTCGGGATCCACTCCGGCTGCGGCGTCTCAGTATACCGCGAGCTGTAGCTCGCGGTATACTGAGCTTAGGGTAACGGGAGGACGCTAGTGTGTGTCCTCCCGTTACCCTAAGGAGAACTATGGGGAAAAACACTGACCCCATAGTTCTCCTTTTAATAAAAGGTGCTGCAGCATTTCATTAATAGTGTATCCTCCCTCTTTCTTCCTCCTGCAAAGTCCCACAAATACCGATTGATTCTGCCAGTGAAGCCCATTCAGCTTCTTGTGATGTTATGGCAATGTTGCTGCACTGCTCCTTAATTCAGAGCAGTTACCACTTTCATAGGTTGTGCCTGATTGCTCCATGGTGGCATGGAGGCTTGACCATCAGCCTTGTCTTTGTAGCATGTCAATCAGCAGGTGGCTGCTTTATAACTAGGCCAAACTTGTTGATGATAGGATCCTAAAGTGAACCTGTCATTAAAGTAAAATATTTGAACTAGTTTTGCCTAATAGTTAATACACATCTACTCTTACTTTCTGATAAGCCACATTTGACCCAATTTACTGTGCACATTAATATCCTCCTTTGGTTGTCCCTGCAGCAGAAGTCCCAAAACACGTCAAACGTAATCATGCTTATACTGAATATGGCTCCCTACTGCCCTGTATTGTGCTGTGCCCAATAACACACTATTTCATTCACAGCACTAATTACTGCAAGACTGCACTTCTCGCAATGCGTTTGCTTGCAGTGAACTTCTGCATTCATTAACAACATTACCCACCCCTTGATGTGATGGTGTCAACTTTAGAATAAGTAACATGCAGGGTGAGAAACCTTGTTAGGAACTTGGAAGTGTATAGTTAGGCAAAATGGTTTTCTTTAGTTTTGGATAGAGTGATGAAGGGCTGAAACCGCTGTCAAGTTTTAATTGTCTGAATGCCCACCAGGGTGATTAACCTTTTCCTGGTAACTATTGTCCCCAAAACAGAAAGTGATGGGAAGTCAACAATTTCAGGGCCCATTTAGATTATATATATATATTGCATTTTACACTTTACAGTCTTGCACTTGGGCAGCATATTTTGAACTGATATTTATCTATGCATGAACAAATATATACACTTGGAGTACCTACTGTATCTCTCATGGAAATGTGACTCCATTCCTCTAGCCACTGCCCTGGCCCTAGGCAAGTGATGAGCCACCATGCAGATGGATGAACAGTGACACTACAGCAATGTGGGATGAGGGACCAGAAGTGCACCAGCAAACCGGTTGTGCATCCAAGCTGCTTCTCCAAGTGATATCAGCAAGAGTGTAGCAGGGGTTTTGGGGGGGATAGAGATTCCCCTTCATCAGCCTACTAATAGGGTATAGGCTGATGAAGGGTAATCTCTATATTCGAAACGTGCAAGATCTCGCAGTGTACTGATAAGATTTCCCTGAAAGTCACTGGTACATCCCAGGAGGTATCTGTGGGGCCCTGGGTAGGTCAGCATTGCCTCAGAAAAACAAGAAGTCGGATTACATTATATGCAAGAAAAATAAATATTTCATTTAAAAAAAAAATTCTTTTGGATGTTTTTGAATCTGCATGCAGGTGCATTTACAAGGGATCTTTATTGTGGGGGGGGTATGCATTAACACCCAGCACCATATTATTATTATCAATCAGCAATATAAACACATGAACTGTAATAATATTTCCTGCCAGGAGCACCACAATAAAAAAAATCTGTGCCATACTAATATCCAAAACAACCAACACTATAGTACAATTTTTCAATATGAAATATCTCCCAGGAGCAAAATTATACCAACAGAAAAAATAGGCAACACCCCATATCCCACACCACTAGTACAATAGTAATATCATCCAATACCATGATATATCCCACCACCTTAATTATATCTTGCAACACCAAATCCACATCAATCTCACCACTACTGGTACCATAATTGTGACCGCCGGAACGATGGTATGTAAACAGCCATCCAAGAAGCTCCTGGCCAGCCATTTAATTAAACGGGCGGCCAGGGAGCTACTTGTCCGGCTCCGGCGTCCTTTCGTCACAGACGAGAGGACAAGTGAATTTTTAATCCATATATATATATATAAATAAATAACATTTCTGTCCTTTTCCTTTTGGTGACATTTCAGGTGACATCTGGGTGAGGGAGAGGAATGAATAAAGATAAGGAATGCACACAAAAAACACTTTATCGAAGTACACAGGGCATGTGTAGTACACACCGGTCCTTCTGGCCTGCTGCTGCTCTGGCCTAGCTGTTCAGGGCATGAGATTGAGATGCAATGTAACATTGTTCCTTCTGTATTTACTCTGTTTCATTCATCTGCAGATTTAAGTCATAGACGTGTTGGTTACTCTGCTACAGGTGGACACTGGCAAACAGAAATAAACCATAGCACACATATAATCTCGCTCCTAACCATCATGCGTAAACCTTTGTGCGCAATCAGTGCATAGGGTCAAGAAACAGATGGGTTGGACCTGTGTCCCTAAATGGACTCCAAGAAAAGCTTTTATGGTAAGTATAAAAATCTTATTCTCCATTGAGGGACACAGAGATATGGTAAATCATAGATGTGTGGGCCATTCAAAAACAGCCCAACTGTGGGGACAGGCAACAGCCACTGAGGGATCCAACGAATGTGGAAATCTTGCCAGTATGCAGAGGAAATATTGGCTGAAGGGCCAGTGAGAAAATAAGGATGCAATATGGGATTGCTACAATGAGGAAAGTCACCAAGAAAGAATTTAGTGTTCCAGAACAGGACAGGTCGTACCCCTAGGGGGACTTATCTGAAAGGATAATGGACCTCAATAATATAGAGGACAACCCAGCAACCACCATAAGGAAACAATCAACAACAGGCCAGCTGAAACCCAGACACAAGATGTCACTATGACAGGTGGACAGGGGCAACCACGGGGTTCTTGTGTACCAACTTGAGGGCATGGAGGAGGCACAGGACATGGAGAAATGCTCAGGGAGTGAGGAGGTGTCTGAA